AAGAGAAGGCTGCGGGGAGACCTTATAGCAGCCTTCCAGTACCTGAAGGGGACCTATAGGAAAGATGGGGAAGACCTTTTCAGCAGGGCTTGTTGAAATAAGACAAGGAGTAATGGCTTTAAACTAAGGGAGGGTACATTTAGACTAGAAATAAGGAAGAAATTTTTTACCGTGAGGGTGGTGAAACACTGGAACAGATTGCGAAGAGGGGCAGTGGAGGCCCCATCCCTGGAAACATTCAAGGTCAGGTTGGATGGGGCTCTGAGCAACCTGGTCTAGTTGAAGATGTCCCAGCTCACTGCAGGGATTTGGGCTAGATGACCTCTAAAGGTCCCTTCCAACGCAAAGCATTCTATGATTTGTGTATGTTCTCTTCTAAAGAACTTTTATTTGCAGAATTTTTTATACCTCCCTCTCCAACTACGAGACTTGAAAAGAAAATTTGACTTAGACTTTGAAAAGCTGTCTGCTCTGAGCTATTCATTTGTAATTTGCAGAGAAGGAATAGCTGCATTATATGTCTATGTTATATATTCAGTTTTATGTACAAAACCTTTATGTATACTATTTTTATGTTTGGTTTTTTTTGATGGTAATATTTGTATATGAACATAAAATGCAGAAAGTTAATTCAACATTGGACTGCAGTTTTCAACTTCATTGTGCTGTAACATGAAATTAACAGAAAGGCACAATCCTTATTTCTTATAACATTTGGGGTACACAGGTCACTTAAGAGGAAACCTACTTTTTTTCAAACTGAATAGAAGTACTAATAAAAACCAGTAATATATAAAACCATGTTTATTTAGTGTGTCCAGCATAACCATATTATCCAGAAGATCTAATAACAGAAGCTTCTGAACAGGTCAGTGGCTAGTATATTTAGACTAGCGATTTAAAAGATGGTTTAATTGCCCAAATTCAAAAGGCTTTAAAAGTCTGAGACTGGGAAGTATTAGTCTCCACTCTCCAGAAAAATCAGGTCACCTAAAAATGTTTTACTTGCAATACCCGAGCTATCTTGGCTTTAGATCCTGAGTAAAGTGAAACAAAACAAGCCAGTGGTTGCTATGAGTGATGAGTATCTATATGACAAGTGTATTCCATGGTAAGTACTGCATTCCTTGTACCTGAATTCATACCTGGCTAGGTTATCAAAGGATGATGGAATGAAACTGCATCTCCTCCCAGACATTTTGGGTTCTCCTGGAAACCCAGGCAACATGGAAAAAGCAGAAGCTGTACTGCTTTTCAGTTAATTCTCCAGCCTAGACTTTTGAGACCGCGGTTATATGATGTATCACAAAGGGCACCTTCTCCACGCTTAGGATGGAGCAGTCAGTGACCAGGACTGTGGAGCACAGCATGGTCTACACTTGCCCTGCAGTGTAAAAATATCTATTTGTGCTGTTAAATAACTCCAGGCATATTAGATCATTTCAACACAGTCCATTTCTCCGAAGTGTTCATGTTTTCACCCCAGAACAAGTCATTGGTGGATTTCTTTTAATGTACTACTTTAATACATATCTGTATCATGAAAACTTAAAAGTATCATTAGTTAAAGACGGTCAAGCAGATCCTGTCTCTTCAGATTAAAGTTATAACCCGTGAGCTCAGGTGTGAGAAGCTGGTTTGTTTAGTCCCGTAGATTGTGGTTTCAGAATCATAGTAAGACAGTTAAGGCACTCCATCACCAAGTGGAGCAGTCCCATCCTTACCTTCAGCCGTGGGTTTCCACTGTACGTGGTAAATCAAGTTGTTTTGGTGATCCACGTGAAAAATAACATTTAAAAAGACTCCAGCTTCCATACAGATCAGTGAAGTGACCTATGCATGAGGTCACAAATTTTCTAGTGCCAACACAAAGAGTGGGTTACCAGTATGTGGCTAGGGAAGGATGATCTTTCATCAACAGTTTTCACTTAGGTCAGCTGAAGCATACTATAAAGCTGCTCTCTGATTTTTTACACTACCAGTTAAAACTGGATTAGTTTATTGTTTTATGGAAGTGCAAGGTAGTTAAAAACTAGAACTAACATGACTACTGCCAAGATGTCCATTCAGAACATTTCCATAACAGGGGCTAAAATGATCAGTCTTCCTCCCCAAATCGAACTTTTGAAGGAGTTTCTGCTTTACTTGGTCATTACAGGTGTGAATTTGTTAACGTTGCGTCTGGTAACACTGCTTACTCGCTCTGTTAAATGTATGTATGCCTTTTCTGTAGTGTTCTTTCAGAAGTATATGAATTATTTCTTTCTATCGGCAGTGATGAAAAAGCATAACTGTTGCAAAACTACTAAATCTGAAGTCTGCATTTGCTTTGGTAATTGTATATTCATAGGTATGACAGAAAACACAGCAAGTGCTACTGAATAACGTAGCAGTCTCACTCTTCTATTTGACCATGAACATAGAAAATTAGAACTGCTCCACATGGATCAGTCATGTCATATATTTTCAGAAGGTATAACTAGTATAGCTAAAATAGGTTCTGTTCTGTAGGTTAAACTGAACCTTGAATATGAACTTCTAGTTTAGTCATGAACACTGATGTTTATGCTTATTCAGTATGCCATTTAAGTCATAGAGGAACTGTTATTGCTTCTCTAAGAGTTTGTGAGTCATTCTCTAAAAGGATTCGTTTATGCTGTTAGGAAGTACAGAAATCCAAGAAAGCTTGACATATCGGTAAGTTACAACACATGAACCCAGGAAAAAAATTAGTACAGCAATTTCATCATGATTAAAAATGTCACAGCAAACGCTCTTGAAAATATTAAAATATCTCTGTAGTTTTTCGTGAATGTTACTTCTTTCCTTTTAAATAACTCAGACAACTAAGCAATTTGGCCAAAGCATACAATTTTACTGTGAATTAATGAATGCCTGGAAGGAATTGACAGTCATAATTTACAGTACAGAGCTTACAAGGAACTGCCAGAAATTCTCTGGGGCAGAGGATGATGTTGCTTATTTGAAACAAGCGGATGATACACAGCCAATTAAAGAAAAGTTTAATTTATTTTGTTGCTCACTTCTGTATTAAATACTGTGAATATTAAATAATTTGTGTATGCAACACATGTAATTGCTCCATTCCATTTATAAAATTTTAATACATTTGCTTTTAAACTCCTGACCTGTATTCAGTACTACATATTTGTACTCCATATGCAGAATTGCATTTTGCATAGTTGATGGTTTATGTTATAGTTTGTATTGTACAATCTATTTAGTTAAGTCATGATAATGGCATATATATATTCTTGGTCTTCCAAGAAAATCTCTGTGGCTGTTTTAACAAACTAGGTTATATACTGGTATTATGTATGCATTAATCTGCAGTTTATTGTTGGAAACAGATGTTAGGGCTAAATATGAAAATACATTTAATTATATTAGAATTTCTGCCTAGAATCAGAATGTGTATGCTAAACATTTCAAATGTTCATATTCTATAACTAAGAAAACAAAGAAAAATTAAACTTGGCATTGTACTATAAAAGCACGCCTTCATGCTAAAACAGTTTTCATACTTGGTTCACAAGTCAAACTTGATCCCCTAAATTTTCCTGAAATGTAAAGTAAAAAATGGCAAAAATACATTTACAGTTTCTGCAGAAACAACAGAGCTGAAAGGGATAGCTGGATGTTTTTCTTCCTTGTATTTGTTATTTTCTAAATACAGTAGAATTTGTTGAATTCTGAATAGAGTAGTATTGAAAGATGTGATACTGAAAGAACAGTGTGTGCTGCTACTAGTGATGTATACAATAAAGAAATCCACATTTTCATATAGAAGTGTAGATATAAGGAGCCTTACTTTGCATATAAAATGAACTTATTTTGCCTAGAAGAAACCAAGAGATAATAATAGAGGATTCTGATAATTTAAATTACCCTTCAGAGAATCAACCCACCCCTCATTTTATGAAGATTTGGCATAGTATTTCTGTTTGACTAAAATAAGATTTTGTATGTATTAGTGCATTCAGGCCCATTTATAAAAATTCCAGTGCTTTATAGAGAAGGATCATTTGATAAAATTACTTGAGCAGATTTTCATTGTTGCCAGTATTTAGCTTTAGAAAATGCATGTTTCAGCCAGAATACAAGATTAAAAGAGATTATCTGTTGCTATTACTGCATTTCCTATCCTCTTTCTACCAGTCTTTTAAATAAAGAAAAGACAGCTTTGCTGCGTGTCAAGAATCAAATGGCAGCAGATTTGGAGAGACTTCTAAATCACCGTGAGGTAATCTTCCTCTTTTAGCATTTCTACCATAAGTGCATTTTTTGTCTCCTCAGCCTTAAACCATGGGAAAAAATTGTTGGGTTTTTTTTTGTCTGTGTCGTTTTCAGAAACACAGGTGGTCATGTCTGTCAGGCACTCAGGAGGTTCTCAATTGTACTCTCAGTTGCTAAATTCTCTCTGTTGACTTAGTCTTACTGTTCTTTCTTTTCTCATGCATACAACAGACATGCTTTGCAAAGTGTTCAGTGTCTGCAGGCATTTAACAGTTATTTAGATAAAGGTGATGACGTTGCTACACACGTAATCTGCAAGCAGGCATGTGCCACGGTATGCCCCAGGATCTCTCCCTGCTCCACGATCATTGAGACCAAAAACCTGGACAAAACGTTATGCAATGAAGTTCCAGTGTACGCATCTGAGTTTCTTTTCAACCCCAAAGTAGGATTTGGGGAGAGGAAACATGACACTAGTCATCCAGGTTTCCTCCAGACGAGAGTCAGGGTACTTCTGAAATATACTCTTGGATCTCAAAGTGTGCAAAATCTTGCCGTTTAGACATAAACACACTGTATGGGGATTCCCAGAAGGCTTTTGTCAAGATTTCCCTGAACAGTCTTAAGAGACTAACATGTCGTGGAGTATGAGAGAAATTCCTTCTGCAGATTGTCTGAAACAAAGGATGGAAATAAGTGAAGTTTAGCAAAGGAATCCCATACACAAATGATCTGAGGAAGAGTGAATAGTAATATGGAAAGTTTGCTGAATCTACAAAATATTGAAATATAAAACCAAAAGCTGACCATGAGCAGTTGTTAAATGATTTCCCAAATTTCCTATATGATTTGGCTAGCATGCAAGTGGATGGATGTCTGATGCGGTGTGCTTCTAGAATAGTTTTTGCATTTAACTCTCTGAATTGATTGTAGTGATTATGAAGTTCCAATAGTCTAATTATAGAAGAAAGTAATTGGACGTGCTTCTCCACACTGCAGGTGTCATTGACCCTCAGGAACATCTGTACACCAGAAGTAATCATTTAATAGCTTTTATTTCTGATGTCTGTATACACATTGTATATTTAAATTTCGAATTCAAGATTGAGACTAAGGCAAATGTTTGGTTTGGGTAATATTTGAGTTGGTTTTTTTCTTCTGTTTTTTTGTGATTTTTTTTGTTTCTATGAAACCCACTGCCCTCTATCAATGTAATAGAAAACATTTAAAGCATTTCCAAATAATTTATAAGCCTTATTATATTGAGTCTTTATCGTATCATTATATTCTTGCAATGAAAAATACTCTGAGGAAACATGAATTAATTAATAAACATGTAGTGAATTTTCTGAATTTCCAATATGATAGGCCTTAGCCAGGTAATTTAATTTCAAATTAACTTCTTTCAAAATTTCCTTTTCCTGCTCCTCTCCCGAGTAGTTATGCTCTTAAGTAATTACACCTTGGTTACCTAGTTTTAGTAGTGTCATATCAACCAACATGCATTGCAGCTGATTAAAATCAGTAGAAAGAGATAAATAAAGGTAAAATTTAACAATGTTTTGTGAGAAAACGATAACATTTCTACCTCAAAGCTGTGCGACATTGTTTACATCCAGACAACATTAGCCCTTATGACTACCCACATAAACTATTCTCAATATGCTGCAGTTTGCTTCTTTGTGTCATTTCACCACGTAACATTTTCAAACTGTGGCCAATGATGCAAGCAAGGCTGAGTGAGGCAAGCTTTATAAAAAAGAAAGTAAATACTTGAGTCTGAAACAGACTTCATCTTGAATGTTCCTCATACCCTGGATGTTAAGAAATTGAGCAAATATTTCCAAAATTATTGTAGTTTTGTCAAATTTATTTTTATTTCTGTTAAAAATAGGCCATATTAGTCATATCGTTTTACCTAATAGTGATAATGTTTTTTTCAAGGCATGTATGGAGAAAAGGATGTAAATACTGAAAAAGATTAGAAGTTGCATGTTTGGGGGAAGAAAATTATTAAATGCCAGTACGAGGCACAAAAAAACCCATAAGAAATGCAAAAATAAGCTGAAGTTGGTTTAGGAAAATGTGTGAAAATAACAAGTGTGCATGTATGTTTAACTTTTGTAACTTCTGTTTATTCCTAATGCAGCCTTTTATTTTTTACTTTTAATGCAGACCTGTTCCAGTAGTTTCACAGTTTATTAATTTCTCTAGAAGGCAAATATTTCATGTATTGAAATCTTTCTACAGGCTAGAACAACTTAGTCTACAGTGAATTAGTCTTACACTAATTTTTTTTGCTATCTTAATAAAAAGTTAAATATGCAAAAATATCACAATTTCACAGGAAATATCCCTGCTAATAGAAAAACACAACCCAAATTTTATAATCTTGGTCTAAAAGAGACTTGACTTCATTTAGACAAGGTATGTGGTTTTTAAATAAAAGTAACATACAATCTCTAAATACAGATATTGCAGTTTGAAAAAAATATGAATTATGTTTTTATGTGTTCTGTACATGCTATCATGTAATGTGATTACTATCAGTCTTGTTGAGGCATTGCACATACTAAACTGTCATGTTTCATTAGGAATTACCTTGTTGCCCTCATGTTTGCAAGTAAAAACATTACAATTCTTGAATAGATAAAACCAAGATATTCATAGTTAACATAAATTGAAGTTTAGGTATGTTAAAAGTACGAGCAAAGTGCCAAAACGATGTTAATGCTGTCTTACAGCGATGTGTTTCAGTAAGTATACAGATTTGACTTAAGGTATTCCAGCCTGTGTGGTCTCAGACTGCATTAACTCTTTTTAATGAAATGTTAGGGTTTGAGGGATTGGGGGGTTTTATTTTTATCTGCTTGTGATATCAGCTGGATTCGTAGTACTTACTTTGGAGGTAATTACAGCATTTTATGCACTTTTTAGATAAAGAAATACATTCATGTTTAATCTTCCTTCCCTTTTCATGGAGGAAACTTGGAAGAAGAAAAAGTTGAATATTAAAGTCTGAATCTTGGAAAAATTCATGTAGAGCTCTTACGTAAGCTCTTTTATTACAGGAAAAAAAATGACACCAGATATTAATGTAATAAAATAGTTGATTATTGCAAATTATGGAGACAAAGCTAATTTGATGATGATTATTATATTTTGCTGTGGAAAATTAAAGTGAAAAAGGACCATTTGACTATATGTATTCTAAAAAGGTTGGGTCCACCTAGAAAGGAAAAAAAAAATGAAGCTTTTTGGGGGGGGGGGCTGTATTCTTGGCCCAAATTCTTAATTGTTTCTTGGCCTTCTATTGCCTTTTTTTTTTTCTAAATTAATTAGTAAATGAATGTGGAAAACTTTTTAATCTAGATCATTGAGAATTAGTTGGTATGGTAACTCTTCCTGTCTTCTTCATGTGGATAAATGCAAACTTCATTATTTGAGAGGGACTTCAATGGCAGCGCCATGAATGATCAGTATCCAGGATCATGCTGAGATTATATTCTATGAGGTTCATAATAAAGCCCTCACAGTGCTGCTGCCCTCTTTCAGCTATCAGAAGGAACTGGTGTACACAGTATTGTGATGCCATTTGTAAAACTCTCAGTGCAGAACAGCAAGTACAGGTAGTACAGCCAAATTTTTCAGCAGATTTCAGACTAAGAAATTTTATATGTTTTGTCTAGTTAACCAATAGGGTTTTTAATTGTTTTTCCAGATCCATCAGAAGAGCATAAAACATTGTTTGGAGGAACAATGGGGTCTGCTGTTAATAACCTTCTAGTAAACAGTGCTCTAACGTTATTTCAAATCCAGATTTTTTTTGCATTATTATTTGTAGTCAGCATTCTCTTTTTAATCAGCTGAACTTTACACTTTTGACCCTGTATCTTTAACTGTGGATAACCAAACAACACACAACAAAAGACTTGTGATCTTGATTCGTCCCACTCCAGTACTTACCTTATGCCCCCAAATGTGGACCCTTGTTGCCCTTGTGTCTTTGTACAGTCAGGGGAGCGCAACTAAGAAGAATGTTCCATCAAAGCATAAATAAAGATGAAATTACACATTATGCCCAAATTGACCCAATAGCTGTAACAATGCCTTACCTCTTTGCTCCTGATTCTCCTTCTCTCTCCTCATTTTACACCAGGTCTGGCACATCTCTAATGCTGCCCTGGGACCATTCAGATCACTGACCAAAAAAAGAAAATCACAAAAGTGAATTGCTGTCTCAGAATCACAGAATAGTAGGGGTTGGAGGGCCCCTCTGTGGGTCATCTAGTCAACCCCCCTGCCGAAGCAGGGTCACCTACAGCAGGCTGCACAGGACCTTGTCCAGGCGGGTCTTGAATATCTCCAGAGAAGGAGACTCCACAACCTCCCTGGGCAGCCTGTTCCAGTGCTCCGTCACCCTCAGAGGGAAGAAGTTCTTCCTCATGTTCAGACGGAACTTCCTGTGCTTCAGTTTGTGCTCATTGCCCCTTGTCCTGTCACTGGGCACCACTGAAAGGAGTCTGGCCCCATCCTCCTGACACCCACCCTTGAGATATGTAGAAGCATTTATAAGGTCCCCTCGCAGCCTTCTCTTCTTCAGGCTGAACAAGCCCAGCTCCCTCAGCCTCTCCTCATAGGGCAGATGTTCCAGTCCCCTCATCATCATCCTTGTAGCCCTCCTTGTAGTCTGTTAGGTTAGCGGCTTGAATCGCCTCTGGAAATGGTCAAGGGAGGAAAAGAGCAAGTAGAAATATTTATATGTCAATATTACTTACCCGTGAAAAAGAGGGCATTTTGTGTCCAAGACTGTAGAGTATAGCACGCCAAGCTTCTGTGCCATCCTTCATCTGCATCCAAACTTTATCCTTTTGTGCATATAATGGAATCTATAACTTTAAGGCACCGAAGTGCAGTTCTCTGTTAAATGCTAAGGTTAAGTGGGATGAATCCACTAAATTTTTTTAGCTGAAGCTCTTGATCCATGATTCCTTTTATCTGTTTTTT